TTTGCCGATGCAATCCTTCTCGCCGTTCGTGGAGGCCAAGAACTTCTCCAACGCACTCAGAAAGCATACTTTGAACGTCGTGCTTCTTCCCTGCCCTATCTCCGTCTCTTCCAATCCATCTTCACCAACGATCTTTCTGACATTGTGCAGAATGCGGATTTGCAGGAGTGGCAGGAGATCTTTGTCGTTCTTTGCACGTTTGCTAGCCGGGAAGAGTTCCCTGGGCTTGCTGAGCAGCTTGGTAGCCGCCTTGAGTTCCAGTTTACCATCGCGAAGTCTTCGAATAATCCTGAGATTGTAGCTGATGCTATTCCTTATCGCAAGAATGCGACCCTCACATACCTCGCTGCATCCCGTCTCGAACGACTGGTCAACATCTGGGCGGAGGAGCTTTTGGAGGAAGAAAAGGGTCTGGTAGCGGAAGAGAGGAGCAACTCGTATTACTCTGCTCATGCTCATTCGTTGCAGACCTTCGTGGAGAAGGTTACTGTATTCCGCTCTGCTACCAAGTACAAGGACGAAGATCTCACGCAAACAAGCGTAGGCGTGGACGAATCCGTCAAGATCTACAAACTTGCGCAGTTGTATGATCGCTACTTTGAGTATGCGAATCTCTTGTCCTCGCAGGGGCTTGTTAAGGAGGCGGTAGCTTTCTTGAAACTCACCCCTCCGGGATACAAGGGGTCATCCAGTGGGACGGACTTGAGTGCCGAACGAGATCGATTGATCGCTGCTACCGGGGGCGGAGAGCCTAAGCCAGCACCCGCACAAAACACTCCTGCTCCTTCAGTTCCCGCTACCACGAGGGCACCTTATGCTTATCCTTCAGTGCCCGCCGTACCCGTGGTATCGACTCAACCAGCTGCCGTGCCGCAACCTACTGCCTATCCATCGTATCAGCTGTCGGTTCCAGCGGTTGGCCCATATGCCCCTGCCCAGCAGCACCAAACGTCCTACATCCCGCAAAACTACACGAACGCGCCATACAATCCTCAAGTTTCGTTGACGCAGCCTCCTCATCTCAGGCAACAACCTCAACCAGCTCCTACTATTCCCCCTCCTCCCCGTGCTACGAATGGGGCGACTGGGCCTCCGCCACCACCAAAGAAGGATAACGGAGGTTGGAATGATGCACCATCGGTTGTTGGTCCGGCACGAACACCTGCGGCTTTGAACCTAAACAAACCCGCTGCTATCACGTCGCCTTTCCCCAACGCAACTCAGTCTCCTATGTATTCACCTCAAGGGTCACCGTATATGACTCAGGGTCAGGCTTCGACCGCTCTTCCTCCCCCTCCTCGACCTGGAAGCGTTCAGGCTCAAGCTCGCGTGCCTCCACCGCCTCAAGGGCAGCGAATCCATCCTGGTGGCGCGTACCCTCCTCAAGGCAGACCTCCCTCACGTACGGCTGGCCCTCCTGGACCAGTGGCACCCCCAAATCGAATGATGTCTCCTCAACAGAGCCACGGTCAACCATCCCAAAGACAACCCACCCCAAGCCAGTATGCACCTCCTCCTCGAGGACCCGTCCCAGGCCAAACCCCACCTCCCGGCCAATTCGGACGCTTGCCTCCTCAAGGTGGTCAACCGCACGCTCAACCATCACACGGCCCCAACCCGTATGTCAGAGCCACACCTCCACCTCCAGGACCCTATGCCCCTGGGCCCACGAGTATCCCACCACCACATCAACAGCAGCCCCCGCAGCCCGGCCCGTATGGTCCTCCACAAGGAATGCAGCGAGGTGTCCCGATTCAACAGCAGCAGCAGCCACCCCCTCAGCAGCGTGGAGGTCCTCCAGACGGACCAGCTGCACCTCCTCGCGCTCCTTCAACGAATCCACCGGCCCGGGTACCTGCGGGCCCTCCCCCACCAAAATATCGTGAGTGTCGTGGTAGATGACCTTGTAATCTTTTGGTGAAAATGTTGATATATTCACAGCTCCTGGTGATCGCAGCCATATCCCAGACTGGGCAAGCCCTGTGTACACTATCATCTCCGAGCACCTTAATCGGATGAGGCAGACGACTCCGGTGAGCATATAACATATCCTACGTTTGCGTCTGAGCTGAGCTGTTTTGACGTTGATATTAGGCAAACCAAAAACGACTTGTCGATGACCTTGAGCGTAGAATCAACCCCCTCTTTGACGCCTTGAACTGTGAAACGCTCTCAAAACCCGTTGTGGAACAATTGGTCTCGCTGACGCGAGGTAAGTTGTCTTTTGCCACCGGGCTCTCTACCTGCTCGTGCTGACCATATTTTCGTAGCTATGGAGGCTCGTGACCGTCCAGCTGCGCTGGCGATTCATGTTGATCTCCTTACTCGCGGATCGCAGACGGATGATATTGGTCTTTGGATGTCGGGGATTAAGCAGTTGATCATGCGGTTGTAGGTAGAATTAGATATACGTTGTGGTTTCTTTCGTTTGAAATGAATTATTGACTCTTCTGCGGCTCATTTCTTGTGTGACAAATGAAGCATAAATAAGCGTGGTAAAAAGCATTTTGGTCTTCAAATTGCATTGACCGGGAGTCGAACCCGGAGCTAGGCCATCAGATCTCTCTTAACATAGAAAATGGGAAGACCCAATGTTACCGCTACACCATCAATGCATATGCACTTCTCTGCCTTCAAGTTGCACCAAAAATCCATTCCGTGCACATTCCGCGTATCCTGAACCCGCACCACATTTCCCTTCCACCCCTCATCTCCAAGGCATCAATTTCTCTCTCCTGGACCTTGTCCCTCATGTTGCCTCATCTGGCTCGCAGCACCATGGCCAGCGCGCGAACAGTGCGTACGTTTTGGCACGGTGGCATTGCCGTCGCTGGTGGTCTCTGGAGCTGCGGTTGAGGAGGGGTGCCCCGTTGCGTGGTTCTTGGCGTAGGTGAGGTCGATCGTTGGGTTTTGAAAACTCAAGCGCTTTTATAGACATGTCCACCACCAAGCGTGGTCGCTCTCGAAATATTCTCGCACGGAAGAAAGTTGTGCAGTAATCGACCCGTCACTGGCAGCAAACCCAGTCGTTTTATCTGCCTTTCTGGGACCCTACGCCAATATGTGGACTAATTATTGTCGTCTTTGCACAACTTTGTCTTTTCGGGGCCGAGTCTCTGATACAGCTTACACCGCACGAGGATATTTATGCAACCATACCGCCGACTTCTCGTCCTTTCCCCTGACCGTCGAATTCGAAGTCTTGTACCATGTCCGACTGCACTCCGACAGAATTCCGACATACCAGCCTTTGACAAACTCGAGGGGTGAGGCTTTGCCTTCCACGGGGCCCAATCTTAATTTATCTCTCTATCACAATACTCCGGGTACTGTCCTATTTCGATCAAGTGTTCACGTCACGCGTGAAATAGAACCATCTTGCGGCCATGTCGGCCTGAAAACAATTCTCAAAATCGTTGGTCGAAATAATACAGTATCTCTAAGAGATGGCCTACACGGAACTGGACGGGGCTCCTCGATCCTTTGCTAGGATGATTGGGTTCTATTTTTGGTGGTTTCTTGCCGTACAAAAAGCTCAGCGCTAAGCAAACAAACCATCTTGAAGCACGCATCCTCAGCCATACCACAAGGCTAATCCAACCTTACAACATGCAATTCCCAATCTACTTCCGTCTCTGGATGTTGATCGTCGTCCTCCTTGCAATCATGCCCATAGAAAAAGCTACGGCCTGTAGCAGGCTTGCGTGTGCCTATAAATGTGTTTTCAGGCATCACTGGGATTGCCCGCCAGGTAAGCTCTATTGATAGACCTCTCCTTTTTTGATACTATCTAACTCTGATTTCAAGGTGGGCGCTGCCACTGCCACGCGTGAAAGATTGGTGGATCTCGGACACGGTGGCGTTGGGCTCCAGGAGACTCCCACCACACTTAACAGACATATTGGACTGAAGGACTTACAGAACGGCTGTATTTAAATTTGGCACAGCGGCTATAGCGTATCTATGCAATACCGTCTTTTGGTTGACTTGACGAGGCACAAACTCAACTGTTTAGCCTGCCTGCCAAAGGACTGGATTTCAGAATCTGTGAGAATGGTGCGCCCTCCCCGGGGCAACTGTTACACTGCTCCTGTGTGAGCGTGCTAACTGCATTTCCTCGGGGTGGACCGTTTTCTTCTCTTCTGACGAGACTCCCCTGCGTGCAAGGTTGACTCCGCTAATTGTTCTATGCCCTACAGCAGGGAGGACCGCCGTCACTCGAATCACCAATGACCATAGGTGTACTAGGTCGTCCCAAAATGATTTCCTATGGGCCCGACAGAAAGCTTTTAGTGTGATCCGCTGATCTGCCATCGTGACTGCTTGAATCTTCATATCCCAGGAAGACTCAGAGCGCTTCTTCGTGCAATGAGGAGTTACATAATAGTGAATACTAATACATATGAGCCCTCCGCCACTTTGACTCATCAGTTTGAAGAAATCTTGCTGACATTCAGACATTTGTCGTGGGGAGGTATATAAAAGAATGTCGAGTGGCTTTCTCATTAGATATTCTTTCCAAAAAAAAAAAAAAAAAAGACTACACATCTCCCATTATGCATCGACCGGGATTCGAACCCACTGGATATCTATCGGCCACTACGTTACCGGTTACCGGTTACCACTAGAAGTACTTCAATTTTTTTCTGTCCAATGTTGTCTGCGGTTCACCTGGAAGCAACAAATCGACCAGCTGCTACGGCAAACACCAAGTCTTCACTGCTCGAGTACTGCTCGACCCCGCAAACGACAACTCTCCCTATTCATGCGCCGTCGACTTATCTTTACTCGCCGCCCTCAAAGACGTCATGGACTCCGAAGAACATGCCAGTGGTCGGGCCCAAAGGGGGGCGTCGATATCGCATGAATTACCTCCATGAGAACTTGAATTGGCTCGAGGAGGCTGGGCGAACTATAGTCAGAGGCGTATGTCCTTTCTGCTTTACCCGGACAGGCGACGTTGAGCACGAATCATGAGAGTTAAGAGAGCTGTGGACTCGAAGGTTGTCAAGGTTGGGTTTTGGGTGCGTTGCGTGTCTTTTTATACCACGGTTGGGAAATGATAATAAGTGGGCTGTTCAGTGTTGACTTGTGGCAACACGCATTATATCATAGACACGGACGCCTCAAAATACGTCTCCGTGCTTCTACTAGAATGTCGCTTTCGTGCGATGCCGCACTTCGAAATACCTTCATGTCAACGTTCTATTCAAGATGGATCTCATATCACGATACGGCGATTCTCGGTCTGCTTCGTTCGTCAGTAAACACAGTCATGCCTGGAAGCCTATTGGGCAGATCCTTGTCGTCTAAGTCTTTGCACAACTTTTCCTTTCCAGGGCTGATTCTTTGATATTTATACAACCATACTGCCGACTTCTCGCCTTTCTTCCTGCCCTCGTCGAATTCGAAGTCTCGTACCGCATCCGACTGCACTCTTACTGCACTCCGACAGAATTCCGACATACCGGTCTTCTGACAAGTCTAACAAAATGCGAGGGGCTGGTCTTTGCCCCTCATGGCGCGTTTCTAAGGCCTGATCTAATTTGTCTCCTTATCTTCGACCAGGTGTTCACGTCACACGTGAAATCGGAAAAGAAAAAAAACTATCTTTCGGTGGAAACTTGGTCAAAATAGTACACTATCTCCAAGATATGTTCTAGACGGAAATGTACGGGGCTCCTCGATCCATTGCGAGGACGATTGGATTCTATCTTTGATGATTTGTCGTCGTACAAAAAGCTCAGCATCTTCCAAACGACCCTATAAGCCCGCATCCTCGCCAGTACCGCAGGCTAAAAAAACCTCGCAACTTTGATCAGCATGCTACCACCAACCTACTTCCGACTCTGGATGTTGATCGTCCTCCTCCTTTGCATCATGCCCATAGAAAAAGTTATGGCCTGCAACCAGTATAGGTGTGCATTTTCATGTGTTTTCAGGCACTACCATTGCCCGAAAGGTAAGCCCTATCGATAAACCTCCCCTCTTCTGATATTTTGACTCTGATTTTAAGAGGGGCACTGCCACTGCTACTAATGAAAGAATGGTGGAGTTCGGACGTGGCGTTGGGCTCCAGGCGACTCTCACCGCTGCATTTATCAGAGATATCCGGAATGAAGGATTTTACAAAACGGCTGTATTTTAGTTTGGCGCAGCTGTTCGAGTGTATTTCTATTTAAGAAGGCTTTTTGGTCTACTTGACTGCTGGAATCTATCTTCGGACCCGACAGAACTTCTAATCGTTGAGTGCAACAGAACGTTTGCTGCTTCTTGGTAGTGATACGATTCAGTGTGATCTGTCACTCTGACGGAATTTCCATCGAAGATTCAGAGTACTTAGTCACGCGATGATGAGTGATACTCAGTAAAAACGAACTCACTTTGTTTCATCAGTTCAAGAAGATTTTTGTTGCCCAGTTATGCAATATTCAACGATACCTGCCCGACGCCATGATCCAGATATTTGTCTATGCCTGTCGATGTCGTTGTGGGGTTGTAGGTCAAATAAATAAAAATGGCTCTCTAGGGAAAAAAAAACCACGCAAGGCAAATACATGCATTGACCGGGAGTCGAACCCGGAGCTAGGCCAATTCATGGGAACACATTTCATGGGAAGACCCAATGTTACCGCTACACCATCAATGCTACCACAACAACAATATTTATATGCTCATAGAGTGGGAGGCCGCAAAAACCACCATTCACTTCCGCTCTCCAGAATTTTCCTGTTATCGTTTGCGGGGTCGAGGTTGACGCGCGTTAACGGTGGATATGGGTCGGAAGAGGGTGGTAATTTAAAGTGTTGATGTTTAACCGCAGACGATTTCGCCGAATGGCATACATGAACGGAAATCTACCGCTTAAGAAAAGGAATAGACACGGGGAACGAAGCTGCGTATACTTATAATGAGAGTGAAGAAAACTGTGCAGAAGCTTGTAAAATTTGGCCAGTTCAAGTTGGCTGCAGCCTGCTGTTCACTTGTGGCGACGCGCATTATATCAAAATACTTACATCACCGTGACTCTGCGTCCTAGAGGACTCCTCGGTATCCGAAGCTTCGTTTCTTACCATTGGCACTCAGTCGAATTTATAGAATTCAATTTGGATTTCTACACCGAAGTGCAAGACCTATCGTACCTCGAAAATTGTTTGGCGCAGCTGCCCGAGTGTATTTATAGAAATGATAACATTTTTTGGTCGACTTGACTCTGCTGGAGTTTTACAGGACAGAATTCTGAATCTCTTTAGATTCAAGTCCAACGAAACGCGAGGCACTGTCCCCTCTTTTTCCGGTGTAAATATCCACTGACATGATTGTAAAGGATGGGATTTCAAGAAAGGGTGTCTGCAATAATGGACGGGGGTCCACTCTCAGTATGATTTTTATCTTCTTCTCTAGTCATCATAAATGCTGCACAGCGTACCGAGTTGAATATGCGCATGTATCGCTGATTGTCACACTCTTGCGTAGCGCTGCTGAGTTGATTATCCGTAGAAAGCGCCCAATGACATTCCCCCAGATAATCTTGCCCATGTCTTTGCAGCCCCCCTCTTCTGGAACTCTTGACGGCCGCTGGATGGATCTACCAGAAAGTCATCAAACATCCATCCTAACATCCCCTCCCCTCCTCTCCCGTATCCCATTACGTTCCCTGGCAGCCACCTCCCCCTCCTTCCTCCACTCCCTCCTCTCAAACGCATCCCACTCCTCCTTCGCATCAAGCCACCGTTCCTGGACGTCCCTAACGTCGCTTCGTACCCCCTTCATCTCCCCCGCAGCGCTGGAGAAGAGCGCGTACGTGTTTGCGCGTGTGGATGGAGGTGCGGCGGTACCGGGGGGTGCGGTTGATGAGGGAGGAGGGACGTAGATGTACCCTGTTGCGCGGTCGATGGTGCGGGTTAGGTTGATCATTGAGTTTTTGTCCTGTGCTTTGGGGGTGAGAGGGAGAGGAGGGGGAGGAAAAAAGTGCGTACCTCGACTGCGAGCGTTTCGAATCCGACGAGGCTGTAGTCTTCGACTAGGGATATCATTGCCATGTTTAGTGCTGCGAAGCGGGGTGGGAGGGAGGAGGAGAGTGAGTTTTGGAGGTAGGATAGGTCTTGGACTTCGGTGTAGAAATCCAAGTTGAATTCTGGGCAAAGTGTAAGTGGGATTGATTGGTTGGAGGGAAGGAGGGGAGCGTACCGAGTTCTCCGTATTGGGATATGAGATCTATTTTGGATAAGACGTTGATGTGGGGTAGTTCGAGGTGTAGCATTGCACGGAGGGATAGTAGAAGTACTGATATATACTTTGAGGCATCTGTGATATAATGCGCGTCGCACAAGTGAACAGCAGCCAACTATCCCATTATTATCATCCCGAAATGAATAAAAGGAAGACGCGCAAACGCACCCGAAATCCCAACTTTCCAAGCTTCTCCACAATCCTCTTAACACTCTCATGATTCGTGCTCAACTCCACCTGTCCAGGTAAATCAAAAAGGACATACGCCTCCCCCCCAAGATCCCTCAACCTCTCCTCAAGCCAATCAAAGTTCTCATCAAGATATTCCATGCAATACAGCATTCCCCCGTTCGGTCCTAGCCCATGTTCTTCCATGACATCTTTGAGTGTGATGAGTGAGGATATGTCGATCGCGCATGGGTAGGGTATGTTGTCGTTTGCGGGGTCGAGGTTGACGATGGATATGGGTCTGGAGAGGGCGGTGAAGAGTTGGTGTTTGCCGTAGCAGTAGGTTGATTTGCCGCTTCCTGGTGAACCGCAGACGATTTCGCCGAATGGCATAGTGCACTGAAGAGAGATGAGTGATACATGGACAAACAATCAATTAGCTTGCTCGTTGTTTCGAACGGTCTCCAGCGACGTCCAAGACGCGTTTGTACGGGATCCGTTTACAGTATGGACTATGGTTATGACGACTATGGTGACTACGTCGCGTCCGACGACGTATGTCACCCGATATCCTCTCCTCTGAAGTCTCTCATAATTCATTCATTTCAAAGATCCCAGCCATTCTCGAAACCTTCGCCTCCACATCCACATCCACATCCAAGCCTCCCGCCAATGCCGAACCCTCTACCTCCAAACAACCCACATCCACATCCTACGCCTACACCAAAGACACGACAACCCTCCAAAAAATCGACGCCAGAATCGCAGAGAAAGAAGCGCGGATACACGAATACGAGCAGGATATCAACAAGTTGCGGGGGTTGGTGCAGTTGCTTAGACATGATGTCCAGGAGTTGAAGAGGGAGCTGAAGCTTAGTGAGGTGGATAAGAAAGGCAAAGGCAAAGCCAAGGACGTTGGGATTGATTATGGGCACGACGTGTTTGAGTGGGGGAAAGGACTCAAGGACCAGATGAAGCGCGTTTTTGGGATTGATAACTTCAGGCTGTGTCAGGAGGGGTGCGTTTCCGTTTTCTTTGGGCTGAGGCGAGGATTTACGGTGAACACAGAGTCTGTAACGCGAACATGGACGGACGGGATATCGTCTGCGTCATGCCCACAGGCGGCGGGAAGTCACTAACCTACCAACTCCCCGCTCTTCTTTCTGCAGGGTGCACACTTGTGATATCACCGCTTATTTCGCTTATTACGGACCAGATATTGCACCTCAGAGAAGCGGGTGGTACGTTTCGCTTTCCGTTCGTGTTTTTCTACTGCATCTGATAATGATGTGATTGATAGTTGAAGCGGTGATGTTGACTGGGTCAATGCCGAAAGAGGAAAAACAAGACGCGATGAGGAGGTTGAGGTTGCTTGCGGATGGGAAGGTTGCCCCGGGGACGGGGGGTGTGGTCAAGTTGTGCTATTTCACGGTTGGCTCTTTGCATTTCACTCACCATTATTTATTTCGACTGACTTCAATTACAGCCCGAGAAGCTAGCGAACGATAAGCATTTCTTGGGTCTCATCCAGAGATTATACGAGAGTGGGAATTTGGGCGAGCATATATTAAACCTCTTCTCTATCCATCCACCAAACTGACAACCTCGTCACGTAGCCCGGTTTGTTATTGACGAAGCCCACTGCCTTTCAAGTCTTGGACACGATTTCCGGTTTGTCTGCTACCTCTCTTCCCTCCTCGTTCCCAAAGCTCACCACAAAAGACGATTATAGGCACGACTATCAAAAACTACACATTCTCCGCAAACAATTCCCCCGCGTTCCTATAATGGCCTTATCAGCCACCTGTCCGCCCTTAGTCCTCAAAGACCTGGTCAAGACGTTGGGGTTACCGCCTATCGTTGATGGATACAGTTAGTCCCCCTTCCTCCTCCCTACCCGTCTCTCCCCAACGTACTTCAGCTGATGACTTTAATGGAATGCAGATGCGGACGACGAAGGGACGGTATACTTCACCTCTCCGCTTTACCGGAAGAACCTGCACTACAAGGTCCTAGCGAAGCCTGCCAAATCCGCGGAGATGTATCAGCTTATGGTGGATTATATATTGGAACATCACCCAAATGATACGGGAATTGTTTATTGTTTTTCTAGGAAGGTAAGGTTCTTTCCCCAGCCCTCCTTTTCTGCTTGCTTTCTATGATATGCCACCCAACGAAGCGAGCTAAATCTCCGCGTAGGAATCGGAAATAGTAGCGCAACAACTCAAAGAGCTCAGCCAGAATCGGATCAGGACGGGGACTTATCATGCTGATGTGGCTGCTGCACAGAAGGAGAGCTTGCACAAGGCGTGGAGGAATGGGAGTGTTCGTGTTGTTTGTGCTACTATCGGTATATATCCCTCTCTTTCTTGACACTCTGGCTCACTTTTCCCGTGATAGCCTTTGGGTTAGGTATTGACAAGGGAGACGTCCGATTTGTGATTCACCACTCGGTACGCATGCACTAAGTCTTCCTTGTACCCTCTCTTAACGTGCCTCCAGATCTCGGTTCGTCATCTTCAAAATCGCGTTACTTACCTGACCTACTTCAATTTCCCAGAAATCCTTGGAAGGGTTTTACCAGGAGTCCGGCCGCGCAGGGCGTGATGGAAAGGACTCTGATTGTATCTTGTATTATCGCCCGCAGGATGGGACGAACCTCGTTTCGATGGTTGCTACTGAACGAGATGGACAGTCGAAGAGTAAGTGGTTTACGATTACGCTGGTTGTGATATAGCTGTTGATGTGGTGTGCAGTTCTTTCAATGCTGGAGTTTGCTGAAGATGTTGAGCAGTGTCGGAAGATCCAATTTGCCACGTCAGTTGTCCTTTCATCCTCTTCTAGAACGCATCATGCTAAGACCCCCACAGATACTTCTCTCAATCATCGAACCTCTCCATTGCCTCCTGGTCCACATCCGACGCCAGTGCCCTCCAACGCTGTGGGCACTGCGATAACTGTATCCGTCCACAAGACACCGTTCACCGCAGTGACGTCACGCTTGATACATGGAGAATACTCAAGGTTGCGACCTTTGTCAACCGGTCTGGTGGGAAAGTGACGCTGAGCGGGCTAGCGGATCTAGCTAGGGGTTTGGGTGGTGGGAAGTTTGAGGTTAATCAGGGGAAGAGGGGGAAGATGAAGTGTTCCTTGGATTTGGAGGCTGAATGTGGTGGAAAGGTTGGGATTGATAAGACTGTAACGTTTCTTTTTCCACACAGAAGGTCAACCTTTTTGCTGATATTTTTTCCTTAGGAAATCGAACATCTTCTGATCCAGCTCATACTGCAAAAATACCTCGATGTAGAATATCACCAGACGGCGTATAAAGGCATCGTTTACATCGTCCCGGGCCAACTTGCGCCTACCCTTGTTCATCTGGGCAAGAAGGATATAGAGGCGAACACGAGGCGGACTCGGAAGGTGGAGATGGTTGTTGCGAAGGGTGCGTCAAAGTCGAGGAAGAGGACGCGGACCGCGGTTGAGAAGGAAAGTGGGTCGGGTGTGCTCAGAAAACGCAAGAAGGGAGTGGGGAAGGGGAAGGGGACGGAGGTGTCGGATGATGATGATGATGGGTATGACGAGGATGATGAGGTCGTCTATGCAGATGAGGAGGGTGGGGAGGCCGAGGAGTGGATCGTGCGTCCTGGTCCTGGTCCCAGCCGCAATCTTTTTGCTCCAACAGCACCGGAGGCTGTGGATGATGAGGGTGAGGACGACGAAGATGAAGACTATCATTGGTCACGCTCGATGCGAGAAAACCCGCCACTTAAACGACATAAAGGTCGACAAAAGTCGAAGAATGGCTTCGTGATGATCAAAGAGGGCGATAATGAGATTATGGTGTTATCATCGGACTGAACGTCATTGTTATATTGCAGCATGGATGTATGTACTAGGATACATAAGGACGTATGAACTTGTGGTGTTAGATACATTGAAGGAGGTACTAATAAAGATACACGAAGGGGGAATAGATAAGGATGAAGGTTGATAAATAGGGTGAAGAATAGATACTGCGAAGAAAGCTGCAAGGAGTGATGAATACTACGCGCGAACAGTAACAATCATATTAGTCGTGCGGGGCTGAATGAAGTATGTTTTAGTCTGTTACCCTCGAAATTGCTTCAGTGCCGAACGGAGGGGAGGCTTTGGGATTCGTCGATGCCCTAGGTCGATCCGAGTTCCTTCCTCGTTCATCCATCCCTGCCCAGGCTCAGGGTAATCGTCAAATTGAGGAGGATACTCCTCCCCTTCATCCGCTGGCTTGTATTGTCCGTCATTCGTCCATAATTGATCCCTTTGCCAAAAATAAGTTGAGAAACTGAAATGAAATGCCGAAATATGTACTCACCCTCTGCGGTTAAACCATCCCTTCTTTCTTTGAGTCGCAATAATCGGTGAAGGGCAAATGAGGTTATCCATCCAGCGCACTGATCTGCCAATAGGAGCGGAATTTCGTCCAGAATTGAGTAAACGAGGGGGTATGGTTTGATCGCCGTCTGAGAAGCGTCTGAGGTGTTCAATGTGGGTAAGTGGTGGGTGATAAGCGCTTGGGGCGGCTACCACCGCATTCCTCGAGGAACCTGACGATCTCTCGTATGGGGTTGCACTGCGAGGGTAGACAGGAGTGTCGGTGGAAGGACGATCTCCGTCGGAGAGCCTTCGATGAGGCTCTGGTGCTGCAACACGTGGCACAGGGAAGGGAGGCCGAGCTCGTGTGTCGATTGGGGTGGCTTGTGAGGGTGAGGGCCGTTGACCAGGACTGGGAGCGGGGTAGGACATGGATAGACGGGCAGAGTACCTGCCTTGAGAGCGAGCCTCAGGCTCATAAGCAGAGTTTCTCACTCCCCCCACATCTGGGTGGCGGGGCCGCCGGTTCTGGTCGTGATGAGGGTCAAGGGCTGGATCCGCGACATCTGACGATCTCTGTCTTTGCAGATCCACAGGTCGTGCTTGGTACGAGACCGAGTTCGTCCTTGTTCGTTGCCTATCGCCTGATCCTCCATTCCCAGAGATGGCCTGCATGTCCAGAGGAGGTAGTGCAGGGCGTGATGGAGCCGCTGCAAACATCACACTCGATCTCCGGGTGGTGGGAGAGTTGGACGTAGGACTTGATCCTTGTCCGAGATCCAGTGAACGCGAATCGTTGCGCCTTGAAGCCGAAGACTGGCTTGGCATATCGTTAGAGGTCACATGGGAGTCTCTTCGAGAGTCCCCACTAGACCGACCTGGGTGAGTGGGGGAATGATTTGAAGGAGCGCCGTTGTAGGATGTACTCAGCACCCTTTCACGAAGGAATGTTGAATCTCTGTGAGAAATGCCAGAATTTGCCCGCCCCTGGTCAGTGCCCCGCCTGGCTACTGGCTCCTCGTACTGTCGAATTGCAGAATCATGATGTCGACGACCGTCAGATGCCAATTGAGAATACACACGAACCGACTCGGTTGATGATGGTGGTATGGGAGAGTGATTGTAGTGGGCATCTCGTCTGTACTCTTCTTGTTGTCGACTATCAGAAAGTGGGGGAAACTCTACGCGATTCCTGGAGTCGTACGTTGACGGAGAGATGTTGGTCTCGGGCCAAGGCCCAACAACAGAAGTTCTATGCTCCGCATACGAACTCCGCTGGCGGCTGAGAGGCGCGGTCTGAGCGGGGGCGGGGAGGTTGTCAGCAGCCTGTCGATGGTGGTATCCTGCCTGCGGATAAGCTGACACGGGCACTGAAGGGCCAGTCTGGCGTGTCAAGGTGGGTGATGGTCTCTGAGTGCTCTCACTATCCCAGCTCTGCGTCTCCGTTGTCGAGGAGCTTGAATCCGACTGCTGGTGAGGAGGATTTTGCGAGACACGACGGTCGACGTCGGAATCTGAAAAAAAAAATGGAGGGGCATGCCCTCTGTTGCCTGTGTATTGAACGTTGAGGGGAGATTGCAACTCCTCTGGGCTGTGATTGACGAAGGAATTAGAATAAGTTGGTTGAGGAACGTTTCTCGCTTGCGAGCCTCGACTGTCCAACAAGTGTGGGACGGACGAGCTGTGACGGTCCTCGCCTCGGGTGGTATCGGTGCTTGAAGTATAATACGATGCAGATGATACAGAGTTATATTGGGCGTTTAATTGCGCAATGCGGTCCAATTCGTCGGCATCGGACTCCGAAGGTGCGAACTGCGGGTCCTGTCTGGGAACTGAAGGGTGGTTACGATCCCGTAAAGAGAAAGAGTCGCGCCTTGGAGTTGGAGTGGGAGTCCTCTCGTCGAACCGACGTTCAAACGACTCAGGATCTACGGGACTTTTCAGCGCCATTGTGCTGTCAATGGACCTCGCAGGCGAGAAAGACATCGTCGTTGACTCGCTATCCGAACTAGAAACGGTGTCGGATTTGGAGCAAGTCGATTGCTCATAAATAAATGTCGTTGGGTTTCCGGCAGTGGGATATATACTGAATTGTGTGATACTTTGTCGTCGTGAAGGATCGTATGCAACATTAACGTTGTGACTCGAGGCCAAGATGGGGGCTTTTGGTGGTTGCGGTCTGGAGGGATACAAAATCTGTGCTTGTTGCGCTGGCAATGGCTGTGACCTGAACCCAAGATCCATTTTCGGAATCAACGTCGCTGGAGGGATGGGTATAGCGGGCGCCTTAAAAACGCGAACAGAGAATTTAGTTGGTGTCTGTAGAGTAGGGCGTCAATATGTAAATTCGCATGGTCCATTGCAGGAAGAGATAGAATATACCTTGGCACCAAATTTTGAGCCAGTCGAGGATGTAGGAAAGACCGAAGTAAACATGGTGGTGGTCGTTTGCGAGTCTCAACATCACAGAGCCACCCCACAGAGACCGGTCAATATAAAGAGTTCGATTATACATCACGCCAATGACATGAGTGTTGGTTGAGGCAACACACGCGGTGTTCGATCCGACACAGCAGTGTCGTGCAACGGCGCAAAAATGATCGCACCCTGCAGATTGTTGCTCAAGATCCTGATGGAGAATGGTTTTATGAAAAACTCCAGTTGCCGTAATGAACACACTTCACATGTGAATTAGGATAGTCACGCCTCACATGACGTTCGCACTGCTAAATGGTGCCAACTGCGCTTTGTGGAGTTCACGACGGAGAAGTGGGGGCAATTACTCGGACGTAACTTGATAAGAGAGAACCCTGAACCCGTCGAAATGTCCCGTCGGATCCTGGCACCCCTGTACACGTTGCTGGTGCTCCTGAACGAGAACAGAACGCGTTAAAATGGAAATTGCATAGTATAGAAAGAGGCGCCGACACGCACCAGCTTTCACAACATTCTTGTTGGGGTTGCACTTCCTAACTCTGCAAGGAGGAGGCGCTCCTTTAATTGAACGACTACGAACCGATGAATAAGGAGTGTTAACACGGCATTTAATTGTGCAAACTGCCACTCACCGCCACTCAGGGAGAGTTTGAATTGCACAACACCCTAGAGAATGGACAAAGATCAATCCTGCAGCTTTTATGAGATAAATCAACTCATAAATAATAAAAATTGACGCACAAGCATTGAAACGGGTTTCGATAAAGGTCTTTCGGAGGCATTTGGGAGGCATGGCTCAATGAACGTGGTGGCATGCACTTGGGCCTTTAGAATTGAAGTTGTCAAAAAAGTATTATGAATATACGATTACGTAATTTATTGACCTACATTGCCAAAATTGCGTTCGAAAAACCCTGACCACGACTTCAACAGCGTTGGGCTCACGTCAAGGGCTCAAGGTATATAGGGCAATCGCAAAGTAAGAATTTTTATCAGTTGCACGAGAAGTTTCTGATAGCTTCGTAGCGTTTGAGCTGGATATAGAGTCTGAGGTTCCAACGACATGCCTTTGCATGCTTTGCGTCAAGAGATCCTCCCAGCGAGCGGTGTAGAGTTCGCGACAAGCCTCAAGTTAACCCCTTCGACGTTAATCGCACTTCCTACCCCCGAAAACGCAACAACCAGACAGGAATTTGTGTCGCGTGTCATCTGTAACGTGGTAGTCGCGCGTTCAAACTTGCTTCGTATTTTCGAGGTACGAGAGGAGCCATGCCCGATACAAAACCAGGCCGACGATGAACGAGAGCGGAGATCAAAAGTTAGAAGAGGAACGGAAGCCGTGGAGGGCGAGGTGGCGATGGACGAACAAGGGGACGGATTCATCAACATAGCAAAGGTGATTTTGCACGTTTCATGTATTCTGTTTACACGAATCCATGCGATTTCCCCCCCGGCGAAAGAAGTTTGAGAGTTGAGCATCGCTGATTCACTTTCTTGCCTTCAGTCTCAAAAGTGCCCAACCCATACCCCAACCGTTACCCGGTTTTACTTTGTTCGAGAACATCACCTCCACGGAATTGTGACCGGAATTGAAGGTGTCAAGATTATGTCTTCCTTGGAAGACAGGCTCGACAGGCTATTGATATCTTTCAAGGACGCGAAGGTGCGTTTCGTACAACTGCAGAAGGAAATGAATGCCAAACTCAATCTTTAGATCGCTCTACTAGAATGGTCCGACGCCGTTCATGACCTCATAACAGTTTCTATTCATACTTACGAACGAGCCCCGCAGCTGGTACGCGTTTTCAATGAGTCCAAATTCAGCCACTCACTCGTCGGGGCAGATGTCTATAGACTCCTCACTTTTTCGCACCGAGCTCCGGACTGATCCCATTTCTCGCTGCGCTGCGTTGTCACTTCCCAGACATGCTCTTGCCATTCTCCCATTCTATCAATCTCAAGCCGAACTCGAGGTTATGGACCAAGACCAGTCGCAAGCAAAGTAAGTGTGCGGACGCATGTTCCTGCTATAATAACTCACAACCTTGTCACAGGGATGTGCCGTACTCGCCGAGTTTCATCCTTGATCTCCCCGCACAAGTGGATCAAAATATCCGGAACGTCATCGACTTTGCCTTCCTTCCAGGTTTTAACAATCCGACGATCGCTGTCCTCTTTCAGACGCAACAAACATGGACGGGGTACGTTTTCCCTCATTTCTCTTGCTTTCTTTCTTATCAAAGTCAATCACAGCCGCCTGAGAGAATTTAAGGACACGGTTAGGCTGGTCATCTTCACCCTTGACATTGTCACCCAAAATTACCCAATCATAACATCTGTTGAAGGATTACCACACGAATGCCTCGCCCTCCTGCCTTGCGGAACATCTCTCGGAGGTGTCGTCATCATTACAAGCAACGCGATCATCTACACGGACCAATCATCCAAACGCGTGGTTCTGCCCGTCAATGGGTGGGTTTCGCGCATCAGTGACATACCTCTTCCATCCCTCACTCCCGAAGAGCAATTACGGAACATCTGCTTGGAAGGATCGCGTGCCGTATTCGTTGATGACAGGAATCTTTTCGTCATCCTGAAAGATGGCACTGTGTACCCTTTGGAGATCGTTGTGGATGGGAAAACAGTGTCCAAGTTGACGATGTCCCCTCCTCTAGCACAGACATCGATTCCGTCCGTTCTGAGGAAACTTGATGATGATCATTTTCTCGTGGGAAGTTCTGTTGGCCCGTCTGTTTTGCTGAAGGCGGCTCATATCGAGGAAGAGGTTGCGGAGGATCATGACATGGAGGCCGCCCCTGCTACTGTGGTATATGATGCAGATGATATGGAATTTGACGATGATGACGGTAAGTCTTTCTTGTGACCTTTCTTGTGACCGTAGCTTCATCAAGCTGACGGCCTCTCCCAGATATTTATGGTCCCTCCAAAATGGTCTCGGAGCCTACCACGAGTAGCTCAACCAATGGCAAAACCGTCACCAAGAAGACGAGGACTGTGATACACTTATCCCTACGTGACTCATTACCAGCTTATGGCCCCATCTCGGACATGACATTTTCGCTGGCAAAGAACGGCGTAAGCTTGTTCATCCCACCCTTTCTTGAATGCCTCACAAGTTTCTGCAATAGGACCGTCCTGTCCCTGAACTTGTTGCTGCAACAGGATCAGGTTTTCTTGGTGGATTCACCCTGTTCCAGGTAACATTTTTTCATTTTTCTTATTTACCTCCTTTCTCTCAACTTGTTGATGTACAGCGCGATCTTCCGGTCAGAACAAAACGCAAACTACACGTCATTGGCGGCGCTCGGGGTCTATGGTCCCTCCCCATTAGACAACCAGTCAAAGCCAGCGGAATCTCATACGAGAAGGCCGTTAATCCATTCCAGGCGGAGAATGACTCGCTCATCATAAGTACCGACATCAACCCTTCTCCTGGACTCTCTCGGGTTTGAGTTTCCACGACATTTTCCTTCCTCAGCCAGCTAATTGAGTTGACTTGAAGATTGCGACCAAGGCGGGCAAGAATGACGTTATGATCACAGCACGTATTCCAGGGACTACAATTGGGGCTGCGCCCTTTTTCCAACGAACGACCGTTTTACATGTGATGACCAACGCTCTCCGAGTTCTTGAACCTGGTATGTGCTCTACTGGTAATGCCCACACATTCTCAACACACGCCCAATCTAGATGGTACTGAGAGGCAGATTATCAAGGACATGGACGGCAATATGCCCCGGCCAAGAATCCGGGCTTGTAGCATATCGGATCCGTTTGTTTTGATCCTCAGAGAAGACGACTCTATCGGCCTCTTCATTGGAGAGACAGAACGCGGAAAGATACGTAGGAAGGACATGTCTCCGATGGGCGATAAAGTCAGTTTTGTGGTATTTCGAGTGAACTACAAAACTCACCGAGGGCCTTCAGAGTTCGCGATATCTCGCAGGTTGCTTCTATACCGACACAACTGGCTTACTGGAAAGCAACTTTGAAAACTCGACCACTCCAGTTGGCGTTACTTCGACATTGTCAGCTGCCGTCAACGCAGGAAGTAAAGGTCAATGGTTGATCTTGGTTCGTCCCCAGGGGATCGTGGAGGTAAGAGATTGATCACTGATGAATGAACCACAACGATCTGATTGCTGATGCGCATCTTCAAGTTGTGGACCCTGCCCAAGTTAACACTCGGGTTCTCTGCAGATGGCTTGACATCCCTTCAAAACGTACTGGTGGATTCACATGACCCTCCAGCCCCCTCATTACCTCAAGACCCTCCACGCAAACCACAAGAGTTCGACGTTGAACAAATACTTGTTGCCCCCATTGGTGAATCCTCCCCTCGACCCCACCTATGCGTACGTTGCTAGACCACTTTGTGCTTTGCTCATACTGACATCGCTTACAGGTCTTCCTTCGTTCAGGACAACTCACCATCTACGAAGTTCTTCCCCTTGGCCGAACTACTGAAGCTCTACCGAAAGTCCGACCTGCTCATGTCAAAATCAAATTCGTCAAAATCTCGTCCATGGCATTCGAAATCCAACGACCAGAGGAAGGCGAAAAAGGCATTATTGCAGAGCAAAAGCGTATATATCGCATGTTCGTGCCCTTTGTGACCAGCGCATCTCCAGGGGTGACTTTCTCCGGAGTTTTCTTTACGGGCGATCGACCAAATTGGATCTTTGGAACAGACAAGGGTGGGGTGCAGATTTACCCTTCCGGGCATGCCGTTGTGAACGCTTTCACACCTTGTTCTTTGTTCGAAAGCAAGGGGGACTTTTTGATGTATACCGAGGAGGCAAGTGTTTCAAGTTTTAACCCTCTATCTCGGGCCTTGTGCTCAAGCCTTCGGTTAATTTCAGGGCCCAAGCTTACTAGAGTGGTTGCCCGATTTTCACTATGATGGGCCCCTACCCTTGCGATCGGTGCCACGAGGAAGGGCATATTCAAGCCTTGTGTTTGACCCCTCAACGTCTCTGCTAGTCGCCGCTTCCTCTCTCCAAGCCAAGTTCGCTTCTTATGATGATGATGACAATAAGATTTGGGAGCCTGAAAGTACGCTTTGTCGCATTTTGATTTCACGGTTATATGATTCTGATTATTGGCCTTCAGCGCCTAATATCGGAAACCCCATGTGCGATACATCAACCCTAGAACTCATTTCACCAGACATGTGGATAACAATGGACGGGTATGTCGCATCTTTTGCTCTTTGAACTCGCTAACCCTTTTGGCAGCTTCGAGTTCGCGACCAATGAGTATATCAATGACGTTGCTTGCGTCACGTTGGAGACGGCGGGGACGGAAGTTGGGAGCAAGGACTTTATCGCTGTGGGTACCACCATCGACCGTGGTGAAGACCTCGCCGCAAGGGGTGCTGTATGTCATATCGTTGCCACCTCGCACACTTCATTCTGATGATTTATTCTTACGACTAAATCCAGACCTACATTTATGAAATAGTCGAGGTCGTGCCAGATCCAGCGATATCTCCCAAGAGGTGGTACAAGCTGCGCCTCCGCTGTCGAGACGATGCCAAAGGGCCTGTGACCGCTGTTTGTGGCTTCCATGGCTACTTGGTGTCCTCTATGGGCCAAAAGGTAACAATCCTTTCATATCAACTTTAAAGAACGGTACACTTAAACTCTACCCCCAGATCTTCGTTCGTGCTTTTGACTCTGATGAACGCCTCGTGGGTGTCGCGTTCATGGATGTGGGGGTGTATGTAACCTCCTTGCGTACCCTGAAGAACCTCCTCCTCGTTGGAGACGCCGTGAAGAGCCTTTCTTTCATTGCTTTCCAGGTTTGTGGAAGACGATGCTGGTTGCCTTGTCACCTTTAACCTCATACCTTCGATGTAGGAGGATCCATACAAGCTCGTCTTGCTGGGGAAGGACACCCAGCACGTCTGCGTGACGAATGCCGATTTCTTCTTCACTGATGGGGAGCTTTCTCTTGTGACGGGAGACGAGGAGGGTATTATGAGAATGTATGAGTATAACCCACAAGGTGTGCATGCTCTCACTTGTGCTTGTGTCATTGCTAAGTTAAAACGATGACGTTTAGACCCGGACTCTAAAGATGGTCGATACCTCCTCCTCCGCACCGAGTTCCATGGACAAAGTGAATATCGGACCTCAACAACCATTGCTCGCAGGCTGAAGGATGACCCTTCCATTCCTCAAGCCAAACTCATCATCGGTATGTTCTGAGCTAGGCTTATCTTATCGGCCTTCCTAATCCTTCTTCAGGTGGCACGGATGGGTGTCTCTCGTCTCTCACGCCTGTCGAAGAGCATGCTTTTAAGCGACTCCAACTCCTACAGGGACAGCTTACGCGAAACATTCAACATGTCGCCGGTCTGAATCCAAAAGCATTCCGGTGCGTAATGCTCCACATGGCCACCGATTTGCCGAGACTGATACATCATTTGCTTAGGATTGTGCGCAATGATTTCGTGTCGAAACCCCTATCGAAGGGCATCTTGGATGGGAACTTGTTAGCCCACTATGAAAGTCTTCCCATTATCAGGCAGAACGAGATGACGCGACAGATAGGGACAGATAGGGTTACGCTCCTCCGGGATTGGATAGCTCTGAGTGGTGCTTGGTAATTCAGTGACAAAGGATCTTCTTTAGTACGTTTCTTTTGTACACTAATTTGCAAAATCTTTCCACTCCATGCATAACTCCCTCCTCTCCTCCCCCTTCAGAGCAGCTAAGCGATGTTGGTTTCTTTGCGCGTATTTTGGTTGCGATCGTCGGATTTTGGCCCATTGATTTCCCAAACATTTTTTCTGGGTTCAGTGTAGTACCCGTACTATTTCCGCAGCTTCGTATAAGAAATTGGAATTACCCTCCGTCATTCTGGTTCGTATTTGCCTCACATTTCTCATCACTAGTTGCACTTTTGTCATCCATCAAAATACTTCGTCATCCTGACGATTACTAACAGATGTACACGTATACGATCGATCACGAAATGTTCTCCTCGAGCGGCGTCAGCTATAAAACCTGCACTCCGGTATACTGACCTCTACAATCTTCAAACTCCTCTTGTCAATACCATGACTGAACAGATTACGCTTTACACTGCCAAGGTTCGTACCCTTGCCCAATTCCATACGATTTACTTACCAAACGGATCCAGATTTGCCCATGGGCTCAGAGGGTCGGTCAACAACCTGGTTTTGTACAGTCAACCGTTAAACTGAACCATTTTAGGTTGAACTGGCGCTCCAAGAGGCGAAAGTCGAGTACACTCGCTATGAAATTGACCTGGAGAACAAGCCCACATGGTACGCCAGCAAGGTGAACCCCGCAAGCAAGGTAGATCTTACCCAATAATCCTTTTGTTGTTAATTCTCTCAACCTCAAATCCCAGGTGCCAGCTCTTGCCTACGGCGGTCCAAAAGTATCGCCAGACACTCCGTCAGAGGAGTCAGTAAAACTGGCGGAGTCTGGAGTTCTCCTGGAATTTGTCGCGGACATCTCTGGCCTTCTACTCCCAAAAGATGCCGTCTCGCGTGCCAAGGCTCGCTTCTTCATCGAAACGGCGACGGCCAAGTTCTCCCCCGCATTTTATGGTGCTGTTGCTCGGGGTGAATCACCAGAGGGCATCTTGACCGTTATCGAGACCATTCAAGCGTTGCTCCCTGCGGAGGGGTATGCTGTAGGAGAATACACCATTGCTGACGCCGCCATCACTCCCCTCTTCGCTCGTGCGAACGTCGCGCTGAAGAACGATATCGGAGCCTATGATGCCGGCGAAGGCGTACGGGTATATAATATCTTGCAGTCAGATCCGAAGTTTGCAAGGTTCCGAAAGTACTATGACGACGTTACGGCTAGGGACACCTTCAAGGAGACGTTCCATGAAGTGAGCAGTTTCCGTCGCCCGATGTCCTCGGTCGTACTGACGTGCCTCCGACGTAGGAGTATCTGAAAACAGTTTTCACGACGCGATGGGCTGATCTTCGGGCCAAACGGTTGGCCGCTGCACAAGCTTGATCAATGATATACCCCACGGAGTCCGAAGCGTCACATTATTACGAAGTTGATGAGGTACAGGGTGTCACTTTTACTTTTTTGTTTGTGTGTACTATGGAAGTTTGCATTGAACCATACATCAGAAAGTTGGGAGGTACCTAGCCGAACCTATGTGACCTACATAGACCTGTGTAGGTCCCTCCCGAGTTCCTGATGTATTTATCATGATACCTTCCCCTTGGGAGTCGTGAGAATGGACGAGCGTCTCCCTACTGCTCGGATTTCATCTTCCTTATCATTGCGAGCAACCTTGCTTTGTTTCGCTCTTGAACATCAGACGGAACCAAATGCCTTTTGTTAAACCAACGCCCGAGGAGATCAGGAAAACGGCGCGAGCGGCGGTATCAGCTTTGGAAAAGAACAATCTCAAGGCGTGTCTGTTCGGAAGCGCCGCTTGCGCAATCTATGGGATGGAAAACCGGGTCCCAAATGTAAGCAACGCCAGACAACGCGTCTCTTGCTCTCTTGTTGAACGGAATTCGGCCCTGATGATGGATAGGACGTGGATCTGATCGTCCTTACCAACACGATAGAGCAAGAGCAAATTAAACGCCTTCTTGTATCAACGGACAACGACTTCTTTCTCGTCCCGTCTACGAATCCGCGTGCAAACTACCGCGTACTCTGGTACAACCTCGACCCGTGGGACGCCTGCGATGGTAGAGCTACACGGTGTAAAGTCGATGTCCTCGTCCCTGGTGTGCTCAGCATCCCAAATATACCACCTAGGCTCATATGCTTCGAGCAAACCCACCCCGATATACCATTGACCCCATTTTTCACCCTCCTCTTGCTTAAATTAAGGGGATGGTGGGATCACCTTACCGATCACAGGGAATACATGTGGGAGAAAGTGCCTTTCGATGAAAGAGACATTGAGGAATTATTGGAGCTCGCCGTTGAAGAGTACGAAGTTCATTTGCAGAAGGAGAGGTGGTTACCGATGTGGCTTATAGAGGAGTCAGAAGAGAGAGCGAGGTATTTTGTGATTCACTGCCCTGATACCACGGATGCTTGGAGTGAAATTGGGTTTGACTTGGACTTCAGCTATGACGAGGCAACGGATTCAGAAGATCTAAATTTTGATGATTTTAGGATTTAGGGGTTTCCAAGGAGTCCGTTTTCCCTCTCTGTAAACTTGTACGACTTGGAGGAGCCCAATGACATGCAAATTAGTAGTTTATTGAATCTGTAAATCAATGAGCCGATATAGATCATGTAGCTACATAGGTGAAAAGTTCTCCTAAGGTACGTAGGCACGTAAAAATGTTGTATTCAGTGATCACGGGCCAAGTGAGGCTAAATATTTTTCTGTCATTGCGTAACACTCCTCCTGAAGATCCTCCCGTCGGGCATTGGCGCCAGGCTCCTTGAGAACGCCCACAGGGTTCAGATAGGCGCCCTTATACTTCTTAGGATCAGCCTTGATGAGGGGAGACGCAGCAGCAAAGGTGGAGTTGTACGCTCCTACATCGGGACTTGCTACGAAAAAGCCAATTAATAATTTGGCTATTCGGGGCAAGGAACGCCGATCTGAGAAGGTATCGACGTAGCCTGGGTGAACGGAGATGACAGTAATAGACGTGGTGGCAAGTTTCTTCTGTAGAACAGTCATTGCCAACAGGATCGCAAGTTTGGAGAAGCCTGATTTTGATACTGTACTAATCCAATCAATTCGTCGCACCCTGTGACCTGTGACCCACGCGACGAAATTTTGGTTTCGTCGCGTCACCGGGGAAGGTGTGACTGCCGGAAATTTTCGTCAAAATGTCGGAGTAGCCCTCTGTCCTTAGATAATTTAAAATAGTTCAGAGAACTTTGCTAGAGAGACTTAGAGGGCGAAAAAATCGATTTCTAATGAAAAAAGACCCCAATTTTGTTCCTTTTCTGACTGACCTGGTGGTTTCGTCGCTGGCTCCTGTGACCTGTGACCGCTTAGAATTTCGTCGATTTCGGACCGCCTGTGACGCGTGACCGACGAATTGATTGGATTAGTACAGTAATGTTCAAACGGGGCCTACCGAGCCTGTCTGGCAGAATGAACTTACAATATTGGGAAAAATAAGGAAATTTGTCTTTACTGAAATCCTTATCAAAATCCTCGAATGTCTTGAACTGGATATTCGCATCAGCCAAGGGGGTGGCGGAACGTGGATCCCGGATATAGGGTTGGGGGGGGGGGCTCTGCTAGGGGGTCGAAATATTTTTTGTGACCTACATTAGAAAAGTTCTGCCAATAAGCCAAATAGTGCTGAGAGCCCAAAAAAAGTCAACGAACTTTTTTTCTAACGCCGCTCAGGTTCACAAAAAGTATGGCACAGAAGTAAGTCCCTGGTTTATATATATATTCTAATCCAATACTGTATTACAAAAAAGCGTCGGGGTTTACGAGCGACAGCAAGCTTCGTTGCCCAAAATATGAGAAATGTATTCCTGTTGGAACAGGCGGCAAAGCAAATCTGCAGCGCGCAGCGAGACGGAGGTGCAGCAAGATGTCGCTATGCGTGATGTGATCAATCTTGTCGATAGCGAGGATGCCGGTGCACACGTACAGGCGGTAAAAAACGACCGCAATTGGACCGAGGATGTCACGGCTGTGGGGAGGAAGTCAGTTTGGGGGCAGTGCTGTTGAATGCAAAGGAGAGGGGTACGTGAATCTTTTGGAGGTTATCAGTTTATTTTACTGATCAACTTCATCTGGCACGTTAGTTTCACATGAAATGTGTGAAGGTTAGCCGTTCATCGAAGTTTTGGATGTGTCCGACTTGTATGGATATGGGGGTGAAGCGTCGTCGCACGTAGTAACTCCAAAAAAAGTATGTTTTTGACATAGGAACTCGGAAGTTTCCTTTTTTGGGGGGGTAGAGGTGGGGGGGGGTAGGCCGAGGGCCCGCTAATTTGTAATGTGACTGTATATCTAAAATCCACGTTCCGCCACCCCCTTGGCATCAGCACTGCGAGAGTGTCTATGTGCCGTCGAGTTAACCTGTTCCACCAAGTCAGTCGACAAGCAGGCGTCATACACCCGAACTCAGTGACGATGCGAACATCGGTATCTAGCTCTTCGGAGGTCTTCTTCAACAAAGGAAGAAGAGACATAGTTAGCTGGAACGTGCTGAAATGGCTATTCGGACGCAATTCACAATATGCCCCGACCGTGTTTTATTTTGACTCACTTGACCATCATCATCTCTGCAAATATGTCATTAACGAGTCAAAGAGCGAATATCACTCACAACTCACGATCGATAGGTGTACCTGGCATTGCGATTCTGAATCCAATTTTTCATGTGAGTATGGAAATAGGGCTGGAGCGGGAAATGGAATTGACAAAGCCGCATTGTTAACTGTCAATGAACGGGTTAGATTCACCCGTAGAATGTTATGTCGGAAAAACCCGGGAAGCCTTATAAGGCAGGTAAGGCACGTAATCACCTGAACGAATTATAATCCAATTATAATCAAGGAGAAATGTACTACAATACAAGACGTGACCATTTTAACGCAAAGGGACAATTGTAAGGTACCACTCAATTGTAAATGAAACGAAAATTTGTAGTGAGCTCGTAGCTCAATTGTAATGTGCGATTTTCTTACTAGTCGATCTGCGGATTTGTAGTCGTGTTGTTACTTTGTACTGTTGAACAATTGTTATTCGAGGGAATCGAACTCTGAACCTATTGATTACTTACTTTGTTATGACGTGCTTACTGACTTGGCTATAGTTACCACTTGGTTATGGGGACATATTTAGCAATAATATCTAGCTTAATTTGTCATGACGAGCGCTAGGCTCGCAATACAGTTGATACAGAGCGCTGTTCTCGCTCCTCGTAAACTTAGCTAGATAGGTGAAAGAACAGTAATAAGTAAAAAAGTCGGTCCATAATGCAATAAACAAGTGAATCCAGTCAATTGCAGTAGCTAGACATTGATACAACACAGATGTAGTAGCTCAGCATGCTCAATCGCCGTTCAACGGCTGCTCGTCGACGATGCCCTCACAATGCTGGACCCAGCTACTTCGCATTTGCCTTCGATTTTGCACCACGCGTCTGCCGACTTGGACGAGCGAGCGCCGCAGGTATTCCGGCACCTGAATCAGCATCAACTTGAACAACCGAAACCTGTTTTGGGCGTCGACCACGGGGAGCTTTAGCGGGTGGCGCAGGCACATCAGCAACAGCCTCGGAGGTTGAGGGAACTGGCGTGGGGACTCGACGACGTCCACGGGGTGGATTGATTGATTGGGAGATGGGCGCGACAGGAGCAGGGGTGTGCACTTCCACGTTTGGATGCAAATCCGGCGCCCGTTCCACATCTGAGTGGGCGTTCACGCACTCTACATCGGTTGGAAGGGTCTGGGGGAGTGGGAGTGAGCTAGAATTTTTCGAAGTGGGAGCTGAAGAAGTGTCGGCTCCCATACGCAGTCCACGGAACATGGAATCGAGACCTGGGTTTTCATCAGCGTCAACCCGGACACGTGGTGCTTCTTCTTCTTCGTCCTGTGAGTCGGGAGCGAGGAGGAATTGTGGAAAAACTTGCATGTTCCAGTATTGCAGGAGCTTTCGAACGGTTGGCGCATCCTGATTTTCAATTAAAAGCTTTTTGTAAGCTTCTGCCTCGCTCACGTAGTTGATTCCTGTAAGTTTTCCGACGCCATGCTTGTTCAGCTCAGGATCACCTCCGAGAAGAAAACGAATCTAGTAATAATTTTGTTAGCCAGAGGACTTATATGCCTAATGAAGAGCTGTGAAGCGTACGACAACTGCGGTGTTGCTAATAAATCCAAAGGTAACACCATCTACACGGCCATGAAAGGGACTGTTTTTGTTGAATGCAGCTCTCTCCGATGTGTACGATCGTGGGCCATAGGCGATGAGACGTGCCATCTAGTATTGTAAGTAGTACGACGAGTGTTTAGAAGTCCATTAATGAAAATACTTGAGAAATACTTACGGAGATCAAGTAATCACTTCTGAACATGCCCTCTTTGTCGTGAATATTGCCATTAGTATAGAGAACTGGTGCATTTGAGGGGTAGCGTGCTGTAGGTGTTTTCCCGCAGGGGTTGAAGCCAAGAAGTGTCGCAAGTTCAGGATTAGCTTCCATGCGCTTCTCGTCACACTTGGGATTGTAGTCGAAGAGGCTTTGGTCAAGGCCAAAAATTGCCCCTGTGCTCCCACGCGTGCGCAGAAGTGTGTTCGAGCGGCCTGATGAGACGCTCGCTTGGAACTAATTGAGCACATTGTGAGTTTTTATGATCTATGCGAGAGGGAGAGATCACATACAATACTTCGGAAATTCTCATGCTTCACCATGCAGTCATGGTATTGAGGAGGAACACACATGTAGAGCTCTGCAGTTTGGCCAGCTAATCTTGTTGTTGAATCGAGGTACCGGTCCTCGCTATCCCACGTGAAGTCAGGGCGAGAAATATCGAATGGGGAAGGTGTGCTCTGCTGAATCCAGAACGAGTAAAAATGAGCAAAAACTTTCCCTAGTTTACCGATTTCTTCGTCGTGGCAGCAAGTTCTGCGACGAGCTGTGATCC